CTGCAGTAGTCTTTGGATCAGCACCCAGTACCCCTAGTGCACCAGCCTTTCCATTTGGTTCAACTTCTCCGACAGTATCATCTTCGCAGCCCATATTTGGGAACTCCAATCCTTTTACTGCGCCCCCCATGAACAATGGACAGATGAGCATGGAAGACAGCATGGCTGAGGATCCTGCACATGCATCTCCCCCTGCAATTTCATTTGGTCAACCTTCTGTCTCGCCCTCTCCAGGTGGTTTCATGTTTGGTTCAACGCCTAGTCCATTCCAGTTTGGTGGTCAGCAGAGTAATGCTGCTGCTCAGAATCCATCTCCATTTGCAGCATCCAACAGTTTTGGTGCTGGAGGGAGTTTCTCATTGGGAAGCAGTGGTCCCGACAAATCAGGTCGAAGGATCATCAAACCTAATAGAAATAAGAATAGAAGGAAGTAAAGTGTTGCGCAACAAGACATTGATCCTCATGGTAGATATTGGTTGGCAAGAGGATTTTTTGACGACAGATCGGCAGCCACAGGTTGTGGGTTTGTGCAATTTTCCTTTTNGTAACATGACAAGGAAATGTATGCTTCTGTAATGAAAGGTGTCTCTATCGGGGACTTATTATGAAGATAAACATCATTATTGAATAAAGTTTTTAAAGCATTGTTGCCGTTTGTTTAGTTTCCATTTCAACCCTAAACGTTCATCTTTTCTTTTGGGTGATTACTGCAGTCTTTACTTTAGATGGATTTAGCTTATATGCACTAGTTGTGTTTAGAATGTTTTTTCTATCATTTTATTTTAACATGTCGGAACAGATTACTGCAATAGAGGGGATTTGTTTTTTTCTTTTCCCTGAGCTGTTTGGATTGAATGCAATTCAAGTGTCAATTTGGTTTGTAAATTAAATAAGTTTCACTTATAAGTATAGCTGAAAATAATATATATGACAGTCTAATCCCTCCAAGTGAAAAAAAAGAAAGAAAAAAGAATCCCTCCAAGTATTGTATCTGCTAAACAGTTGGTATAATACAAAAAAGGTTAGCTAAATCTCTACAAAAATGGCATGCACGAACCGAGAAATGGATATAGTCCAACAATTTGACATGGTTGATGAGCCTTTTCTTTTGTATGGTATATGGAAGGGAGAAAGAACAATTAAGTCTTGGTAATATTAGCATAATAATTAATATAGCATCCAATGGTGTAGTCTCACGGTTAATAAAGTGAGACGAAAACTATGAAAACCTAGAGTTAAAGTTTCAAGAAAGGAAAAAATAATTGATTTCTTCTTATTTGCTTAAGTCTTGATACGTGGAACCCTACACATACCATTAATGGTGAAAATAATAAAAATCGGATGGAATAATCGGACAAATTAACCCGAACACCACCATATAAAAAAATTGCAGCATTGTTGCATCATTTAGCATGCAACATTTGGTGGAGGATTCTATTTGGATAAAAATAAATTCCTCAATTGAAAACTAACTACCAGTTCATTTATTTACTTGTTAAGAAAGGCACAACGCATTTGGAAATAGAAGTTATCCGATTCTTAAACCAAAAATTAAGAAACCAGCATTCTTGAATCTATAATTGCAACTAATGGATTAGGAATATCTTAGCAGTTAACACTAGGAATATATACTCAGCCTTTTAATAACTAATTAAGTTATCCTAAGTTGCTTTCCATAAAATTTGGAGCGAAAAAACCCCAAAACTACTGAATATATTAATAAGATGCTACCATAGAGTTTTGCAACATCCAACTAATGTTGATCTACGAGGAATATAATCACTTAATAAAAACAGACTAATTTAAGTATCAATCACCTAATTCAAATTTGCTTCTAACGCGACTACTATCCTGTTTGGTCAAACTTTCAAAGTTTAATTTGAAAAGTATTACCTATCAAAAGTACTTTTGGAGAGTAACAATATGTGTTTAATTAATCAATTCAAAAAAATTGTTTGCCAATGTCAAAGTAACAGTTTGTGGTTCGCTAAGGTTCAAAAAGTACTTAAGAGAAAAAAAAACTATTATTTTTTAGCTTCTGTAACAACTTTTACTACTAATCAAAAGCACTTAATTTTTTCTAAAAATTTGGCCAAAAATACTTCAACTCTCTAAAATAAGTGTTTTAATAGAAAAAGCACTTTTGCTTTATTCAATTATTTTCTGTTTGTGTCAGCAAAATTGTGTTGCCTCATTTCTAAAATTCTCATAATTAAGGAGGTATTAGCTAGAAGATCAACCAATATTTCCAAATTAACGAATCATATTCAAAATTCTTTAAATGATACAGTAACTTGAATTAAAGACCTCTTATCCATTGAGACTTTCAAAAATAGATCATACTCCCTCTGTCTCATATTATGTGTCGTGTTTCTGTTTTACACGCCCCTTAAGAAATATTAATTAGGAAAGAGATTGAACTATTCTATCTTTATTTGTATTTTAAGATATAATCTCTCCTCATTGAATATTTATGTGTTATCTCCATATTCAAGAACAATTCTTACTAAGGGTGAAAAAGGAAAAAAATAATCAATTTTGTCTTGAACTTCTAAAATGACAAATAATTTGAGACAACTATTTTTAGTAACCACGACCATTAATATGAGACGGATGGAGTACATTGTTCATACCCCGATCTTAGCAAAATAATAAAAATAAAAATTTATTACGAAAGTCTCAATTTTTTGGCAACCTTCTTACCCTCATGCTAGCTCTAAGCCATACACGTGATTTACCATATGCATGGTTGCATCAATCCTTGATAAGTAATTGTGTAAACTGAATCAAGAAATATTTATAAAATACATAAAATTCAGTAAATATTGTAATAAAATTGGTAAAACAACATGATCTTAAAGGTAATTACAATACATGGAAAGTTTTTCATAAAGCATTACAATTTTGAGCCTAATTACCACATGTAACTAATTTACCTAATAACTATTCGTAGTTACCGTTCAAATGTTACTAGCTTGTATCACTTGTATTCAGACACGCAACAAAATACAACATGTGTCAACTGTATTCATTCGCAAATGAATGCAACCTGTATTAATTGTATTCGTTCGCACAATGAATACAACCAAAGCAAAATACAGAAATATAAAAAAATAAAATGCTCTCGTTAAGAATCGAACTCAAGATCTCCGCTTACTTTAACCAACTGAGCTATGAGAGCTTGTTACACTCTTGTTTCAGTTTAAAACAATTGATCTCTTGTTTTAGTACTACATGTGAATTTGCTGCATAAAAGTCAAATATAGCTACAAACAGTAATTTATCTAAAATATATTCACACTGTTAAATCCATCAAAACAATTATATAACCTACCATGTACATTAAAATTGGATCATTTACACACAAGAAAAGGAAAAGAAACAAACAAAAAGAAGAAGGCAAGACAAAAACCTAAGCAAGGAAACCATATATGGTGGTGGACTCAGCTTTGCCTTATTGCCAATGGAACCACTTCAGCCAAAGGAGTAGGCAAAGGAGATGGAAAAGGAGAACTTCTACAATTTGGACAAGTTGGGTGAAGCCTTAACCAAGGGTCAATACACTTGACATGAAAAATATGGTGACAATCAGGCAATAACTTAAGTTTATCATTGTCTTTATAATCTGCCAAACAAATTGAACATCCTGATGAAGAAACTAAGTCCCTTTTATGAGCTTTGGCTTGTGAATAAAGTAACTTTGGATAGCTTTTTAATGTGTCTTCATCAATACCTTGTTGAATGAAAATCAAATGATTTTCTAATATATTGGTGGTGGTGTTGGAATTTCCAATATGGGAAGAGGAAGTGTTGGTTGATCTTTTTCCAATATATAAATAGGAAGAATAGGTGATGAGTATAAGAATTACAAGGATTAATAAGGAAAATCCAATGCCATAGCCATAATTTTCAAAGGCTTTTTCATTAAATTGATCTGGACCTTCACTTGCTTCCCCTATAGTGCTATTCATTTTGCTTGAAAATGAAGAGGTTTTAAATTAAATCTTGAAAAAAAAAGTGTTGAGATAGAGATATGGTGGAGGAAAAATGGGCTTTTTTTTGTACTTTGGAGGCTAAGGAAAGGGAAGATATGTCTAGCTAAGGAAGCTTTTATAGGTATATATGAATAAGAGAACCTTTATGTCATGCAGGATTAAGCAACTTAAAAAGAGTGTTGATCAGGCAAAAAAGGTTCTTTTTTTTATTCTTTTTACTTTTATTGATGTGCTGGAAAAGGGGTTTCTTTTCTTTTTTCTTTTGTTGGGGGGGGGGGGGGGTTAAAAAANTTAGTAATTTATAAGTATATTATAACATGTTAATTACTTGCAATTAATTTGAAGTTATCAATTAATTAAAGCTTATTACTTATAATTATCTTTCAAGTTACATGGTTGTGTAAATAATTTTTTACTGTTAATGGATAAAATTTAAACTTAAGAACAAATTGAGTGGATCACTTAATTTTCCTTTCCAACATTGCAACTTGGACAGTTACAATATATTCTCCAAATTATATCATCCTTGTTGGCCTATGTCCTAATTTGCAACTTGAACTGATAGTGTCAATAATATTCTTATGTATACAATCAAGTTAAAGTTACCTATAACATCAAGTACTATTAACTCTAATTTGATGTTATAAGAAAAATAGTTTGACAGTATAAAAAAATTGAATTATATAGGCAGCGTCTATCTCAGACCCCACTAATAGGATTTTACTGGATTGTTGTGGTAGGCAACGTCTATCTCAGTCATGAATCATATCTTATCAATAGCACTAAGCAATGAATCTAAAACAAATATATTGGAAAAGAAAAACATTTCGTGAATTGTATTAGCATAGTCCTAGCCAAAATCAATTTTTTTTATAGCCAAAATCAATAGTTTGAAGACTTTTGTGTTCACAATTTTCAAGTGTATTTATCCCGTGAAATTAGTTAAGGTATGCATAAGCTGACCCGAAAACTACGGTTATAAAAAAAATTCAGGAGAATTAGGTCTTAAAACTTAAAACTTTTTGTAAGATTAAGAGAAGAAAGGATAGACGATAAAGCAGGAAAAAAAGATCCAAGAAGAAGCAAGCTAGCAGCAGCATTTGCTACGTTGAAAAAATCTATGCCTAGATTTTTGTTACTACATTCCGCACTGAATCCTAATCCAGCAGCTGCACCAGTTGCCAATAGATACGAAGTAACCTGCAGCCCTATGTTAGTTAACATGAAAAAAGTAAATTTTTTGGCTAGAGCATAGTCCTTTTTTCTTGTTAAATATACATCAGGTAATTTCATTCAACTTTCAGTTATGCGGCACTAAAGTTATACTAAAATTGATTTTCGAGAAAAGTTAACTCTAGTTATACCTATATATCATAGGAAATAAAATCATTGAACAATACCAAAAATTGATCGAAAAATGCTAGTAGGTTGCCACACGTATAAGATAGTACGTAATGTACGTATAGCTACGTCAGTCAATCGTTCACTATCTTACATAATATCCACGTGGCACCATAAGAAAGATCTCATTTTTCAACCCAACCTCCTAATACTAGATATCTTTCACCATGTGGCACATCATGAGTTTTCTTATTTTTTTAAGTGGTGTCATATGTCGGTATTATGTAAGGTGAGTTGTTGAAGTGGAAACCTACTTGTATTTCTGGCACCAAGTTTAGTTTCTTTTTTTTATATTGTTATTTTTCTATTCCAAAAATTAATTTACCATAGCAAGTTGGATGACCATTTGAAATTAACCCTTAAATATGTTTATCATTCATTTTCTAGCCTCACATAATGTGGATATATTAGATCATGTGAAAGATCATGGATCCCGAAATGTAACACTACAATTTACATCCATTCAGAAATCAGTTATTTTCGTCCAAAAGACACATTGATCTTCCTACTTCAGATTTTGTCATACTTTTTGAAATTGAAGGATTACTTTTCATTTTTGAAGAATTAATTGGCGTACCTTTTCGCTGTAAAATTCAAAATAAGCAAAGCCTCTAACGCCAATAGGAGTTTCACAGACTGCGTGGAGTATTGTTAACACAGCTAATAGCAGTGTGTAGGCCATCCCAATCGCAATTGCAGATATAAAGTAACTGTATCCCAAATATTCAACAAAAATAAAGAATCTAATCACTAAAAAGCAATCTGACCCAATTTGCTTAATATATATAAGGGTAATAGACAATTATTTGATCTGTCTTCCAAATTCAGCTAGGAGTAATTGGCCCAAAAACAAAATTATAACAAAGTAGTGTTTAATAAGGGGCATTTGCATCTATATCCGCTTTTTGTGTCACATTTGAATTTGTAATTGCAAGCGTACCCACTTTTTCGCATAACTTCAGCACACGGGGCTGAAGTAGCAAAGGCAATCACGCAAAACTTCAGCATTCTAGTAACCGGGCCTGAAGCTCAGCTCTAGAGCTGAAGTTTTTGTGTTGTAATTGGGAAACTTCAGCTCTAGAGCTGAAGTTATTTAGTTCTCTTTTCTTTCTAGTGCTTGCGTGTTCCAGTCCTTTTCTTTCTTCTTCAGCTTCTGCTTATTTGTCTTTCGTTTTGTTATTTTAAACTCCATCAAAAAAAAAATGCAGGCTAAAAGCGGACGTAGTAAAATCTTTGAGTGCAAAACATGCAAAAAATAATTTGATTCGTTTCAAGCATTGGGTGGACACAGAGCAAGTCATAAAAATACAGCTATTAAACTCATGTTGATGACTACTTTTCCTAACGAGTTACCTACTGTTAAACCTAAGAAACATGAATGTTCGTTTTGTGGTGAAGAGTTTGTTGTCGGCCAAGCTTTAGGTGGACATATGAGAAAATATCGCGACGACTTGAATAAATTAAATCAACAGCAGCAATACCAGTATTAGAAGGAGGGGGAGAAAGGGGAAAGAGGAGGAGAAATGGGCTAAGTTATTTAAAAGTGGGTATAAGTTAAAAGTTTTTAAAAAAATGGGTATAGGTTAAATGATGGCGACCAAATAGGGCGCCCCGTGCAATTTTTACGTTTAATAATTTATTAATTTTTAAAAAATATATTTATTTGTTTTAGAATAAATACTTATAAATCATGCATATTTGTATGTTGATAAAACAAACAATGCTAATTATTCAGCGTTTAAATTTAAAAATATATTTTAAAAATCAATTATGCATCATATCAGGACATCTTAATCTTTAAGGGGCAAAAACAAACAAACAAACAAACGTGACTGAAGTATTTGAAAGGAGAAAGCTAGTTTGCCGATAAGCATAGAAATCAGTGGCCTTGACTGGAAAACCAAAGATATCACTGATTCAACAGTATCAGTGGCAAGGACAATCAATGATACTAACAAGAAAATGAATGTAAGGAACCTCATTAGAGATATCACTAGCGACCAGCCAACTGTCACTGTTGATGTCTGGTTTTCGTCCATATTTGCCATTGATGATGTTAACACTGGACATCTTCACGCACACATGACCCAATACATCTTTGTAATAGTCTGTAATTAGTCTTACATATATAGTCACCATATGTTTACTCTTAACTGATTTTTTTAGTCTAGCCTTGCAATTCTTTACCTATTGTATATATAGCCTTAGAATGATTGAATATGTAACACACACAAATATTTTTGATACATTCATTTTCTCAGATAATAAAAACTCTCTCTCTTCGTCTCTATTTCGAGTTAGGGTTTTCTTCTTCAGATTTTGCTTTTGCAATTCGATCTTGTTGATCTAACATGGTATCAGAGCGCATAATCGAATAGTACTCGTTTTGAGCTCTCGATTGATCTTACCCTTACCGTTTTTCGAAGAGTTTCAGTTCATCAATTTTCACCTAGGGTTTCTGAGTTTTGCGAAACTTTGAAAAAATTTGTGAAAGTTCTCCGATAGAGTTTGCTGTGGGGTTGTGATGTCGGAATCCGAAGGCTTTCATATTATCCAACCTTTTCGACTATTTTTAACAGTAGAAAACCTACTTCTCTAGGTTTTTGAAAAGGACAGTAACATATAAACATAAATTTTGTGTGATATTGCTGTTGCATGTCTATATTGCTTTCGATATGGGTAGTACAGTAGAATTTTCAGATGAAACTAGGCAGACCACTTCTGATGATGGATTTACCCCCTTTTCCATCGAACCTACTCATCCTTTTTACATTCACCCATCAGATAGCCCAGAGAGTCGTCTGATTTTTGATATATTTGACGGAAATGGATTTGTTCTATGGAGAAAGAATATGCTAGTTGCCCTTTCCGCTAAGAACAAACTAGGTCTCATAACTGACTGAATTCTCCAGCCTAATCTGAATTCTCATTATTACTCTTTTTGGGAACGTTGTAACGACATGGTTATAGCATGAATTACCAATTCTTTGTCCAAAGATATAGCTACTAGTGTCATGGGTTTTAACACTGCTAAGGATATTTGATTTGATATAAATGAAAGATTTGGTCAGTCTAATGGTTCCAAATATATACAACTCCAAAAAGAATTAGCAGCTACTTCCCAAGGGTCTTCAGACATTGCAACTTATTTCACAAAATTGAGGAGTTTGTAGGATGAGATTACCACTGCCTATGTAGGTCCTGTATGCACCTGTGGTGTTTTACCCAAACATATTGAAGAATAGAAAATATTTCAATTCCTTGGTGGTCTAAATGACTCTTAGTCCATCTGCAAGAGTAATATTTTGATGATTTCCTCTCTCCCTTCCATTAGTAAGGCTTACTCTATGCTACAACATGATGAGAAGCAAAAAGAAACCTCCAGTCATGTTCCTAGTTTTTCAAACAAATCAGTTTCTTTCTCTGCATCTACTGGTCCTCCTTATTTTGGTAATTTCAACAACAATAAAGGAATTAACCAAAGAGTCCAATTTGACTCCAAAAAGGGACTCACATCCAGCCTCTTCTACAGATACTGTAAGAAAACTAGGCACACTATTGAAAAGTGTTATGGGCTGCATGGTTTTCCCCAGGATTTTAAGTTCACAAAGGGAAAAAGGGTGCATCTTGTGCTCAGTCTGAGGGATATGGTGGAGAGTTTGCTGGTTCTGCTAAAACTTCTGAGCCCTCTGCTCCTGCTCATGGTTTCAGCAACGAGCAATACCATCACCTCGTGACACTCTTTCAACAGGCACAACTATCTCCTCCCTTCATTCCTGAAGGTCTCAGTGGTGAAAATCTTGCCTTTGCCAACTTTGCAGGTGTGTTTAATTGTTCTATTTTTACTTCTGATGGTTATAGTGTATGTGCACATTCACAAATAGATAGAAGTCCTTGGATACTAGACTCAGGTGCCACAAACCACATGACTCCTCACAAACACCTACTCCACAATCTTCAACCTTTAACCACTTCTTACTTGTTTACTTTACCAAATAGTTATAAGGTTAAAGTTTTCTGTACTGGTTCTTGACAACTGGTTCTTTAACTCTAAGACCAGACATTACTCTAATTAATCTTATGCTAGTTCCATCTTTTCATTTCAACCTCATTTCTATTCACAAGTTAATCACTCAATTATATTGTTATGCACTCCTTACTAGTTCTCAATGTTATTTACAGGGCCTTTCTCTGAATAGGTCACTAGAAATTGGTAGGTCTGCAAATGGTCTGTACTATTTAACCCCACTACATCTACTTCCTTGTCTACTGTGTCACCTTATGTAAATAATACTCAGTGTAATGTTTTCAATTTAATATCTACTTGTGACATTCTACCTCATGTAAATAGTTTTCATAGTTCTGCTTGTAATTCATCCACTGCTATTAATAAAATTGATGTTTTCAGGTATCAAAGAATGGGCCACAAGCGTGTGATGACCCAAAAGGTCATCACTCATTTTGAAAGTAAATTCTGTGTCCTGAAGCCTTGAAAACCTCTTTTTATCCTACCTCGATTTGTGTGCGCAGTTCAGGCGCATTTCCGGAAAGCTTTTTATATGAAATCTAAGTAAAATAAGGAAATTGGCCTTTAAAATTGATTAAAGTTGACTTTGGTCAATATTCTTGGTAAACGGACACGGACCCATGATCTGGCGGTTTCTTAGGGTCCGTAGTAAAATATGGGACTTGGGCGTATGCCCAGAATTGAATTCCGAGGTCCCAAGCCCGAGAAAAGAATTTTTGAAGAAAATTATTTGTTGGAAAATATAAAGACTTTTATAAGTAAGTTGATGTGATTTCTTGATGGTATCGGGCCCGTATCTTGATTCTGGAGCCCGATACAAGTTTAAAATAATAATTTGGTTGAACCTGTGGAATTTGGTAAGAATTGGAAGTGGTTTGGTATAAAACAGACCTATAGTTGAGAAAAAAAATAAAATGTTCTTGAGTGATTTCATGAATTTGAGGTTTAATTCATAGTTGTTGATGTTATTTTGATGATTTGATCGTACGAGCAAGTCCGTATGATGTTTTTAGACTTGTGTGCATGATTAGTTTGGAGCCCCGAGGGCTCGGGTGAGTTTTGGATAGGCCACAGAGTGAATTTAGACTTAGAAAATAACTGTTGCAGGTTCAGAGAAGTTGCAGGTCTCTTAAATGAGTTTCGCAGCCCGTGGTGAAACTTCGCGATAGCGGTGGGGTCTTCGCGACCGCGGTGGGCAAGGTCATATCTTCGCGGCCGCGCTTGATATTTCGCGGTCCGCGGTGGAGCTCCACAACCGCGGTCCTTTTTCTGCGGTCAACCGTGAGGGTCTGAGAGGGGTATATATAAGCGAGACTTTTCAGCCATTTTCATTTTTCAAAACCCTAAAACATAAGAGGCGATTTTTCAAACACGCTTTCTTCCCCCAAAACAGAAGTAAGTGATTTTTAACTCATTTCTTTCACTCCTTAACTTCTTTTTACAAGATTTCATCCCAGAATCTAGGGTTTTCATAGTGGAATTGGAAATTTTGGGTAGAACTTAGGATATAGAAATTTGGGGATTTAGACCTTAAATTGAGGTCGAATTCCAAAACTAATTGTATATCCGGACTCGGGGGTGAATGGGTAATCAGGTTTTGGTCCGAATTTCGAGTTTGGACCAAGCGACCCGGGGTCGATTTTTAACTTTTTGGGAAAATCACTAGAAAACCTATTTTCATGCATTAGGATTGGTTTATTTAGCATTTATTAATGTTATTAAGTAAATTATGGCTAGATACAAGCGAATTGGAAGTGTAATCGAGAGTTAAAATGGTAGTTGAGGCTTAATTGTGTTCGTGGCATTGAGGTAAGTGTTTAGTCTAACCTTAGCTTGAGGGAATAGGAATTGTGGTCTTATTTGCTATGTGTTAATTGTTGAGTACTACGTATATGTGTGGTGACGAGTATCTATATGTTGGTGTCAAGCATGCCTGTGAGTCTTATACTATGATTGTTGTAACTCCGTTATGTATTGTCCATGCTTAGTATGATAATTTCTAATGTTGAACAAGGCTTGTGGAAGTATTCTTGGTAATTGAACATTGTAGAGCATTGGCTCAAGTTGAGAATTGAGTTGTGAAGTAATTCTAGAAAAGAGAAGAGGTTTATGATATCATTTCCCTTGCCGGAATGTTATTGCTTATAATATTGTGTCCCTTGCCGGATGTTATTGCTTATGATATTGTTTCCCTTGTCGGGGTATTATTGTTATACTATTGTTCCTTTGCCGGGATTCTATTGTAATTTTATTGATTCCCTTGTCCGAATTGCTTTGTGATTGTTGTTTGGGTAAGGAAGAGTGTAAAAGCACGAAGGGTGATGCCGTGCGTGATATTTGTGAGTGCGTGTTAATGCACGAAGGGTGATGTCGTGCCGAAATTGTGAATATAAAAGCACGAAGGGTGATGTCGTGCCATGATATGAGTGATAATGTATGAAAGATAATGCCGTGCCATGATTATATGAGGTAAAAGCACGAAGGGTAATGTCGTGCCGAATATATTGATTCCTATGGTGAGAACGGGAGTAAAAGCACGAAGAGTGATGCCGCGCACTTGTTATTATTCTCCTTATTCTTGCTTATAGTTGAATTTTGGTGTTCCGTATGCTTCTTTACTGAATTTCTATTTGTACATGATATTCCCCCGAGCATGTTTCCCCTTCCCATCTTTAACTGCTAGTTTCTGTCGTTATTATTTGTTGTATATGATATAATTGCACATGTTTATTTGATAGTCTTTTCCTAGCCTCGTCACTATTTCACCGAGGTTAGGCTCTACACTTACTAGCACATGGGGTCGGTTGTGCTGATACTACACTCTACACTGTGTGCAGATCCCGGTGATAGAGCATTTGGACCGTAGAGAGGTTGCTGCCTTCAGTCCAGCGAAGACCCGAAGTAGACATGTAGACGTCCGCAGGCCTTGGCGTCCCCTTATATCTTTTCCATTTTGTTTTTATGTATTTCAGAGACAGATTTATATTTTTCATTCAGACCACTGTTTGTAGTATTCGTAAATGGTCCGTGACATTGTGATACC